AATAAATTACCATTGAACCCAAATCTGTGGTTGTGGTGTGCCATCGTTTGTTAATTAAAACACAAAATAGATATTAGACATTGGATTATGTGCCATAAAGTCTTGAAAACATGATGATGAGGAATCCAGTCTGTCCCCAGATAGCAGCGATAACTTGTTTAGCTCAATGTGACTATAGAATGTAGACAGTCTGAGTTCAGTCAGTCTGAATTTTAATTTAGTCAACTAATGGTTCATCAAATTTGGCTAAGCTAATGCGATTACATCATGATTTCAGTTAATAAATGCAAACAACCTACTACCTCATGTAAACAAATTTACTTGCTCTTTCTATTGAGCAGTGGCTGAGTTATAGTTGATTCCAATTTTTAAAATTCCAATTTACTTATGTCAGTAATTTGTTACGACAAAACTATCCATGTAACTTGAAACATTTTTTTTCCTGTTGTCACTCATTCTTCAGTGCTTTTCGTTTTGCTGAAAAATATGAAGGTGCTTAACCATGTATAACTGAAGGAGTGTACCATATGTATATGCATAAATGTGACATTCTATATCTTAGTAACTTTCTAGTATAGCTACTACACATTAAGTATATATTCTATTATTTTAAAGAAAGAGATTTATTAATTCATGTGTTTTGTTTTGTAATAGTAGGTTTTGGGTTTTTGCACCCAAGATTATGCAACTCATGAGAGATTATATTTAAGACATACCTTAGAAGAAATCCATGAATGTGATGTAGTAGGTCTAAAGACCAATACAGGCTGGAGTTACTTTTCAGTGATGGTTTCTCTCCATTGAAGAGCATGTTGAGCTCCGAGAGAGATATCTATTTTGGACAAATGAAAACTTAACTTCCCATGCCACTCTTTAAACAGTTTTCACATTATAATATTTCCCAATTATCCATATATGATGTATGTCTCTGATGCAGGGTGCTGCTCATAGGCCTTATGCTGTCTTCTAAAACATAGACAAAGGTCATGGTGCAGCATCTTTCCCACCCACAAAAGTTCAATAGATGTTTGATATTGTTGTTGCCCATAGGCATGCTGTTTCACCCCAGAGAACAGAATCTGTGGTCCATATTCCAATAATAATAATAATAGCAATTACTAGGAGCAGGACATGCAATCATTGAAATAAACATAGACGTTTGTTTTCCCTTTTAATTCAGTGTCCTGATGTCTTTTAAAACATGCTGGCAAACTAAAATCCCAGCTCTTGACCAAAAATCTGGTAGGTAGGACTACCAATTGATGGATCAATAAATTATACACTTTTCTGTCAGTCTGATACTTTCCACATTTTCTAACTTCCTTGTTGAAATATGAAACTCAAGTTGAAATTCAAACATGTTTTTCATTCTGCTACAGAAGGATACTTGCTTTCACACCATAACCTAGTTCAGCATGTAAATTTTACCTCATTAGGCTTTTTAATATATACTGCAATATCCACACATCATAAAAGAGGTTTTGTTCTACTTGCTTGCTTTTGTTTTGTTGTTTGTTTCAAAGACAGTGATAAATTGGTTTGAGTGTTTATATTAATCAAAAGAAATGTCTCAAAGTACTTAAGAAAGATGTTTAATTAGGCAATTATTTAAATATTTTAGGTGTATGAAAGGTTGTTTGCTCCTAAATTGGGAAGCTACTCTTGCTCTCAGGCTGATTCACGTTTCTATTGTGTTTTCTTACGCTCTGTGGGCAGGTTTACATCCAGTTCAGCCTTGTTGATGGCGCGATACAATCGTACTTCTGTGGCAGAGTCAAACAGATTCAGAGAAAATTAGAGTAAAATGGCTCTAAAGTAAGATTGCACTGTTTCTGCTGAGTTAAACTCAGAACACGATAGGAAGATGCGTCTGTTGTGCCTTTTACAGGCTTCCTGGCGGGGAAGCACATGGCACCTGGGAGTTACAATTGCCAGTGACTTGAGTGTAGGGCTCAAGGGTTCTGGAGTTATTTAGCAGTCCACAGTGTTCTGCATGTTATGTTAAGCAGGATGCATTTGCATCTCAGGCTCTTCCAACCAGTACCCTGGTACCCACGAGAAACCTCTGGCCTCAACTAAACCTAAGCTGTGGATTTCATTTGTGCCCTCCTCCTTTTTATCGTGCTGATTGGATGCGCACAATATCTTCAGGGTATAGGCCTTCCCATCCTAGAACAGCCACGAGAGAGCCAATAACAAGGGTCTTCAAAATCTCCTATCTGGGAAGGCAGGTCTCAAAAGGCAAAAGCAGAACAGCTGAAATCTTAAAGGGGAAGAGGGAAAGGTATGGTGACGTCTGAAGGAATAAGACAGGCACATGCTATGCACTGATGAACTACAAGCCCACCATTGGCCTATCAGAAAAGCATACTATCCAAGACAGTGCAAAAATATTCGCAGTGATGTTATTTTAAAAAATCAGATTATAGATTCCACACTTAAGAGCTGCCTTGCTTATGTTCAGTGTCAATATGTATTACCCAGACCCAGAGGTTTTTGCAAATGCTATGGCTGCTTGATAACCCACTTGAGCATACATCCTCTTGGCAGGGTTACACGTTAGCTGGGGTAAAAAACTAAAAATACAAGCGTGGCTACTGTAAATTGCGAGGCGAAAGAATATCTAAAGGCAAGCTTGTTGCATTATTTGCAGGCACCAGAGCTGTTTTAGGGGTTGGGGGTGAAGGAAAACAATCCTGAAGCCTCACCTCTTGTCCCTGGGTACTCCCCCACACTCCGTTAGGTTTGTTTGCAGCCTGCGGACTGAAGGCTCCAGGGCCCGTAGGTGGCGCCCCTCGTCCGTGCTTGCGCATCTTGCAGCTCTCCAGGCGCAGCTCGGAACCCTGCCTGTCTCCCCGGATCTTTAGAGCCCAGAGACTGCATTTTAATAAATACGCGCCTTGGCGCCGCGTTCCACAAGCCCCGGGGTTGAGAGAAGCGGACACACAAACCCAGGCAGGAAGAGCCCGTTTAATCTCTGCCAAGAGCTGACATTTCACAAACGGAAGATTCTGGAATTGCAGTTCCAAAACAATTAGATTACCAAGCTTTTCCCTCCTTAAAAAACAAAACAAAAACAAAACAAAACAAAAAAAAACAAAAAAAAAAACAAAAAAAACTGTTCCTTTTATTTCAAGTGTCCCTCCCCTTTAATTATGAAAGTGACCACTCCGTTCAAGATTAAAACTTGGAGGGGACTTTGGAAAAGAAAAGGAATCTGGAAGAAGAAACACAGCTGGTGCTTCCGAGGGCGCCTAGTTTTGAGAAGGTATCTAGGAAGACTGCGCTGGGTTTCTAGGTGAGAATCGGACGCGGGTTTGGCAAGGTGTCAGGGGGAGTCCGAGGGAAGCGGGCTGTGGCTTCTAGGACGAAAAAAGCGGGGAGTCGGTAGTTGGCAGCTCCGGGCTGTGCCCTCTGGAGTCAGAGGAGAGGCAGGGACCCAGGGATCCTGTTAGTGGGGCGCGCGGAGGGCGCGCGGGACTCGGAGGGGGCAGTCCGCGCGCAGCGGTGCGGTTGGTTGGTTCCTAGGCTCAGCGCGGCTCTGCAGAGCGGGAAGCCTGTGGGTTCCAGACAACGCGGTGCGCCGAGCAGCGTGGAGCGCAGCGCTGTGTGGGCTCCGTGGGCGCGTGGGGCCGGGGCGTGGTGTGCTTGTGGAGCCGGAGCGGACCGCGGGGGAAAGGCGGCAGGGCGGGGCGGCGCGGTTATTGGCCAAGCTCTGGGAGAAGGGTCGTGCTCCGAGGTGTCCTCCTCCCGCTAGCTCCTGCTTGCCTCATTTTTTTCTAAGCAGAACAACTTCGCGGACCTCGGTGCTCGCCCATCATGGATGTTCCAGGTAACCTACCCCATCAGAGCTCCGGAATCTGGTTGCTAGTTGCCTTTTTGTTTTTTAATGCTTCACCGGAACCTTGAGTAATGTTAGTGCTAGGGGTTAGAGAGAAGAGAGCCAGCGGCAGAGCAGGGATGGGTAGGAGGTGGTCCCCTATCCTTTGTGTAGGAGCTGCAGACAGGATATTTATTGAAACCCAACTTATCTTTTCTTAGAAAGAACACTGGAAGAGTTGCTCGGAGAGCGTGGGCTGCGAGGGGAGGGTTCGTTCTGTTTGTGTTCCTGGGCTGGGTATTGGAATGGCCGGCCTCTCTGGGTTACCTGAAGAAGAGGGGACCGGCTGCAAGCGCCAACCCGTGTAAGTTAGCAGAAAGGTACAGAAGAAAGGGAGTCGGGTCCAGAGACAAGATCCTGCAAATGAGTAAAATCCAGGGATTCTGGTGCTGCAAGAGGCTGTTAGTTGTCTTTGCCAGAAAGAGGACTCCACCAGGCTCTCCTAAGGAGCTCCTCAGTGGCTGCAGGGACTTGGAAGTGGGTGTTAGAATTTCGTTCCTCATCCACCCCCATCAGGCCTTTCTGTTTTTGTCCTTTTTTCTTTTAAGCTCACCCACCCAAGGAGTTTTCTGGAGTTTTTTTTTTTTTTTTTTTCCCTTTGGGGGTGGGGGTAGACCCTTTTTATCCGACAAGGAGTGTTTAAAAATTTCTTCCTGGATAGAAAAATAGAGGGAAAAGGGGAAGGCATGGAGAGGAATATTTTCCAATGTGGCTGTGGCCGTCCAGAAAGACGCTGAAATGAAGCTGATGAGGCATCAGTTCTGCTTTTTTTTTTTTTTCTTTGACTGCATTTAATTCCTCTAGTGTTGGGATGAGTAGGCAGGGGGCGATGGTGATGACGCCTTCTTAGAGGTCCCCAACCCCTTTTTAGCAAGGTCCTACAGAATCTCAGCCCAGAACTCCAGGGCTCCGCGCAACATTCAGGAATCTGTTTGGATGGCCTGATCGGTGCGCCAGAGCTCTCTCTGATCCATTATGCCACATCCGGAATGGGGATAGCTTTGCGGGACCACGGGGATGGCCACCCCGAAAGGGAGAGAGTCAGGCACTTGCCCTGCTACACACACCTTTCCGCCTAAGGATTCTGGTTCTTTGCCCTGACAGGTCCGCTCGTGCCTTGCTTCTGAGAACCATTTGGCCTTGATCTTCTGAGCCTGGGACCCAACCCAGAGGAGGATACTGCTCTGGTCCTGCCTGTTCCTGAGTGCACCCGAGCACCCCTCCGGCTCCTGCCGGCCTTGGCGTCCTCGGGGCGCCCCAGCCCAGATGCCCGCGCCTGGCCGGGGCCCCCGAGGGCCACCGCTGAGCATGCCCGGGCGCCGGGGGGCGCTGCACGAGTCAGCCAACTTTGGCTTCAGCTTGGGGGCGGCGCTGGCCCTGTTGTTGCTGCTGCTACCGGTCTGCTGCCCGGTGACGGCTCAGAATGACACGGAGCCGATCGTGCTAGAGGGCAAGTGCCTGGTGGTGTGCGACTCCAGTCCATCCGGGGACGGTGCCGTCACCTCTTCCCTGGGCATTTCTGTGCGCTCAGGCAGTGCCAAGGTGGCCTTCTCCGCTACTAGGAGCACCAACCATGAGCCCTCAGAGATGAGCAACCGTACCATGACCATCTACTTCGACCAGGTTAGCGGCTAACCTGCACACCTACGGAGGAGTGGAGGACCGGCCCGTGTGCCCAGCTAGCTAGGGCTCCCTGCATCTCCAGGAGGAATGCCAGGCTGGTTTTCCCACCTCTGCATTGCCCTTAAGTTGCTCCTTTGGCTGTTATGCTTTCCTGGAGTCCCCCTTGAACACGCTGTAGAGTTTGTTTTTAAACGGCCAGCTCTCTTGGAGCGGATTACTGAGAGCCCTGTAAGGTTTCCCGGGCTTTCCAAGGGTCTGGTAAAGATGAGATATGAAATACATCCTACCCCTCACCCCCCCGAAAGAAAACATAGTTCGCTTCCCCTTTTTCTGAGGGCAAGGCAGCTGGGGAGAGGGGAGCCTTTTAAAGATGAGGCATGTAAGATAGTTTCTTATTCAAAGAGGAGTCTGACAAAGGGCCAGACCCATGGCTTATACTGTGGGATCCAGCTACAACAAAAACAAGCCGGGAAGACAACAGAGATGGTTCACTGCTTACATACCAAAATAAGGTGGGCATGTACCTGCTAGAGACAGGAAATGAAACCTTTGCAGGGTACTCGTACAGTATATTCAAAGATAAATGTAGAGAAGGACTATAAGTTTAATAATAAGAAGACCCATGACTTAGGTGGCTTTAAGCCACTTAATTTCTGGCCTCCGGGCCAAGCAGCTAAGGACCAGGGAGATGGCTATGTAAATGTTTCTCTGGGCAATGACCTTTCTGTGTCCTCTCTCTGTGATTCCTATTAGTTTTCAGGAAATGAAAAGATGAGCATGATTTTCACACATTTTCTAATCAGCTAATGATCTTGCCAAGGGGCTTTGTGTAAAATGGAGTCCTGACACGTCCTGGACACAGATGGAGTTACTTTGTACTGGAGCTCCCTCTGTCCAGGAGCCAGCTCCTAAACCCATTTATAGCCAATGCACACATTCGATCTCTTTTTAAGCTGTGACATTCATGCCTAAAAAAATTATGCATTTGAGGGTGTAGGGAAGTTGCTTTACTATGAAAAATATTTCATTATTTCCAAATAAGACAGCATCATACAAGCATAAATATAACCCATATTCTTCTTTATACAGTATTATTTTACTTTTATTATGTTTCCATTAAGGTGTCATACAGATAGTTCTTGAAACCTTTTCAGATCCACTGATTTGTGGATACAGGGTCAAATCGTAACGGGAATCTTGTTTTTAGAGACAAATTAACTTGGGTTCCTGGTTGTAAATGAGGGAGTTTGCAAGAGAGGGAGGCCCCATGCTCAGGGTCTGGCTGGGTGTCTTCTCATTCACATAAAGTCTTGAACTTTCATATTTCCAGAGTTTAAAATGCCCAGTGAGGGGATGAGATGGAGAGACGAGCACAAGTGAGTTCAAAGCCCATGCAGGGGAGTGTTTCATTCTCCAGTGAGTCATCTTGGGGGACACTGAGCACAGACAGAGGTGCTTTGTCCTCAATGATGAGGCAGTGTGTGTACGTGTGTGCACACATGCACATACATGTGTGAGTGCACGTGTGTGTGCATGTGTGTGTGCGTGCGTGTGTGTGTGTGTGTGTGTGTGCGCGCGTGCACGTGTGCCTGTGAGCTGCCTGCCCTGGAGTGGGCTGAAGTGGTATTCACAGCATGATTAAGATGCAGTGTTCCCCAAGCCACACCAGCAGGCACTGGTTCCTGGCAGCAACTCACCATGCCCTGGCAGTTTGCAGAGTCTATACAACCATGCTGTGAGAGTCACAGCCAAGCCAGTGAAGCTTTACTTTCTGACCAGATAAAGGACAGCCCAGGTTTCTGGTGCTGCTAGCTGTTTGTCTTGTAAGCATAAAACACCAGCGGTGGTGGTTCATTTTATTATTTTAATGGCATTGGAGTTTTACAGGAGGAGAGATGGGAACAGGATGTGGACAAGGTGGCCTGATTCTATTTTGAACAGAAAGGGAGTGAGATGGGGAGCTTGATTTTCTTCACGTTATACTATGACCAGCGACTCTGCTTGTAGCTAACTTGATCTTACCTGCTGTGGAATTTCCTTAGTTTGAACTGGAAGTATCCAAGCTATCAGTTCATTTCTCTTTATTCAAGCTTCTTCTTCTTCTTCTTCTTCTTCTTTTTTTTTTTTTGCATGACCCCAACACTCAACCAACAGAGCAAGCTTTGCTTAGAGACCAGTGAATTTGAGCAGGGCAGCCAGTGTTTGTTGACATAACTCAAGATCCAATACTATCTATGAAGCATCTACTGTATACTGCTAGACTTTGGAAGACCCTGGGCATTGAAACCTCCCACAGGCCATTCTCCTCCTCCTCTAGTGAGCTCATGGAAGGGACTGGTCTGTTGCTTCATCAGCTTCTCTCTCTTCATTTCATGTGAAGTTTTATGTATTAAACACAGCACCAGGTTGACACCCCCTTTTAAAAAGTAGGTTGAATTCACAGGTTTCCTCTTGCTAGGTTTTACTGCCTCCCATCTCTCTCCATGCCCTTACATACAACTGCAATATACTTCCAAAGTCTTTATTAATGAGAAACCATGAGAATACCTTTGGAATGCATTTCTGCCACTGAATGTTCTAATTTCGGTACTCGATGGCCGCCTGATTGAGCAACGCTGTGGACTTAGGGGCACCTACTCGAAATTCCGATAAACCAACTGACATGTGGGGGGGGGGGTTACCCAAAAGCATGGAGAAAATGCAAGCCCATTAAGGGCATGCATAGTTCAGTAAGCTGTTTCCTCCTCTTTTTCAGGTTTTAGTAAACATCGGCAACCACTTTGACCTTGCCTCCAGTATATTTGTAGCACCACGAAAGGGGATCTATAGCTTCAGCTTCCATGTGGTTAAAGTGTACAACAGGCAAACAATCCAGGTGGGTTGGTTCAAAAGTCAAGGCCTGGAATGCTTGGTAAATGGGGGGAGGAGGGGTAGTTGGGCTGAGTCACCTGGAAAACCTGCCTTTCAGGTTCCAGGTATGTTGGCTACAAAATTAGAAGGAGGTGTCAATCCTTAGGGGAGGGAGAGAACAGGATGTGGGGAAGGAGGTGGTCTCTGATCTGCTGAGCCGTCCTCTCTGCTTTTATAGGTCAGTTTGATGCAGAATGGCTACCCAGTGATCTCTGCGTTCGCAGGAGACCAGGATGTTACCAGGGAAGCAGCCAGCAACGGTGTTCTGTTGCTCATGGAACGAGAAGACAAAGTTCATCTCAAACTGGAGAGAGGGAACCTCATGGGAGGCTGGAAGTACTCCACATTCTCGGGCTTCTTGGTTTTTCCTCTATAGACATGGAGCCACCTTGACAGTGGGAAGGTTTGGATCAGGACCCAGGGATCCGCCCTCTGTAACACCTCGAACTTGTCTGAATAGGATGGCTTGGGCTGACCTCCATCAGATTGTTGCCATAGAAGGATGATTTTCTCCTAAAGCTCCGGTATTTACTTTGACGATTGACAATTCCTCGGGAACCTGGCCTCTAATTAGTTTTAGATGACAAGGTCTTAAGGAGAAATGAAATTATGGATTTGAGCAATTTGTACCTGTGATTGTGAAGTGGATATCGGATTTTATTGTTGGAACCGTTTGACTTACCTTCTATTGTTTGTACATTGTATCCTTGTCCTGATGACATAGATGCTGCTGATCCTGTGACAGATTGCACGCTGCAGTCAGGGCTTAAAGCAAGAGCCCAGCAAAGAACCGCCTACCGGACAGTCCTTGACTTGTGTTCTGTGTGTGTGTATAGCCTTAAGAAAAAGAATGGCTTCATTTTCATTCTGTAGCTTACCCCTGGGGTCTTGGGAGGATTGGGAGGGAGCTGGGCATTTTGGGGACCTGTCAAAAAAGTGCTTTATCCTGAGAAGCAAATTTTGCACGATTGGACTGCAACTTTTGTTTTGTATTGTCCGTGGTTTTCTCCTCCCCCCCAACCCCCACCGGACACTTTCTTTTCCTTCCTCAGGTTTCACTCCTCAAACCTATTTAGTTTTCATGCTGGGGTCCTGGAGAGTGAGAGAGAGAGACAGACAGAGAGAGAGGGAGAGAGAGAGAGAAACAACTTATGTTCAGTACTTGTAAGAGATCAAAGAGAACAAAATGAAATCTGCATATTTTCTTTTGAATGAGAGGAAACCAGGAACAAACAAACAACAAGGACAGCAAGCAGACCATCCTGCATATTCTTCCCTGAAGTCTCTCTCGAATGCATCTTCAAACTTGCAACCTGGATTTTATTTATTTATTTTTAAATTTATACTCTGGGATCCTTTAAGAGCCTGGCATTCTTCATTGGCCACACAACCCTTAAAAGTGGAGCTGAGGTGGCTAAACACCTCTTGATGTGTCTCAGTGGTGAGTTAGAGCTGCCTCTGAGTGACCACACAATGACCAGATGCTTCAGAGAAACAGGACCAGCACCTCCTCAGATCTTCCTTTGATCTGTCAAGGAGAGGGATGTGTTGATGCTCTGTGGATGAACACCTGGCCAGAAGCCACCTGGACTGGAAGTCACAGCAGTTCAAGGTACTGGCTGCTGTACTCCATCAGTGGCTTTTTTTTTCAAACCCTACTTGTTTTGGCATCTTGTGCAACAACAATATCCAGTTGCAGCGGAGAGAACCTGCACAGTCTGTGTGCGCCAAGGAAATGTCACGAATCCCAAAGCAATCAAAGATGAGACCTCAAACTGGATGTCAATCTGTCCTTTGTGTAACAATGTAACCAAAATATTGACCATAAAACTCATAATTTAAGATTCAGAATAAACGAGTTTGATGTCTGTCTTGCTCTAGTCACTCCTCGTCATCTCTCTCAAAATGATGGGGAGGCATAGGATAAGTACCAAGGACCTGGGAATATTAAATTTATGTTGTGGTTCTTTATAAAGGACACACACAACCACTGATGCAGCTACAGGTCTCTGGGGGTGCATTGCTCACTTAGATGTATTCAGTTTATATGTATGTATTTTTGTTGTTGTTCAATGAGTAAGAGTTTGGAGGAGAGAGCTAAAGGACAAAATTAAAGTTTAAGAGTAAACTAGTAACGTCAAAGATTTGAACATTTGAGAAGGCTCAGTTTTCAGCGTGTGTGTAAGGATGAGTTCCATGGGCAACAGGCAAGCGCAGGAAACACTGTATAGTTACAGTTGGATTAAAGTCCTCAGCTTTCTGTCCTAATGGGAACAAGGAAGAAAGATAAGAAATTTTATTGTATTGAAGTGATGTCCTCTTGTGAGTAGGGGAAGTTATTTTGGGTACTGTGACTCTGGCATGAAGATATATTTCTAGGTGTGAGCTGTGTTTGGTGATGCTTGGAACATAAGCAAAAGGAAGATGGGGTGTGTGTCCCTTGTGTTTTGTTATTCTTGGATGTTTTAATTCTCTCTCCCTCACCTCATGCTCAATTTAAAACAAGCAAGAAAACCTCATTTGAAGACAGCACATACACTACAGAGATTGTAAGATGTAGGAGTCCTTGTTATTAATATTTACATCCTTTAATAATGCATAAAGCTCATATTTCATCGTATTTATATCTTTATCGTGTACAGATTGCCACTGAGTAATACTGTCTCATAAATAAGTTATTAAATTAACCAATATAAATGTATTTTGGGAGTTTATTTTCTATTAGAAATCAGCTTCCTCCTGATGGTTGTACTCTTAGTCTTCTTTCTTTGGGAGTAATGCAAATGCCAGAAAGTACATTAGTACGTAGCCCTCATGGTAATGTTCTGAGTTGGCTTACTCTCTATTGCAGCATCTGTCTTGGTTATACCCCTCTAGAAACTATGTAGATTTATTAATTACTTGAGAAAATGAAGCTTAGCTAAATCAAGTTTTATTGGAATTAGAAGAGCTATAGAATACATCAATCAGAATAATACCTTTGCTGAAATCTCAGTTTGCTTCTGATGTCCTTGAGAGATGTGACACTTCTGGGCTTGTCCCAGAAGAAACATCTATGTCAGATCGAAAGTTAAGATGTGATTTTTTTTTTGTTTGTTTGTATTAAGAAGAATGGCCTAACATTTGTAGACAGAGCTCACCATTCCTGTCTCCTAGCCTCTGTGTTCATATCTGCAGTGAATACCCACACTCCATTGAGTCAGTCCACCCCACAAGGCTGTGAGATGACCTCTCAGAAGTTCTTGGAGAAGGACCAGAGAGCATTGGGCTAATGAATGAGACTTTTACAGCTAGAAGAGTCTTTCCATAAAAGCATATTTTTCAAAGTGTTGTTGTAAAGATCACTTAATAAATATATGACAGGAAGGTGTTTGGGCATGACCGTGTATTTCCAAAATTACCAAAAGACTACTAAAGCTGTTGAAGTTTCCCTTAATTGAATTTTTTAGGGAGAAGATAATGTAAAATTCCATACATCTTGAATTTATTAGGATTATCAATTATGTTATTTGGCTGACCTTTGTGGTTCACACTCATCTTTGTCTTCTAGTACATACTGCCAAATCTCAAAAAAATATGTACTGATAATATTATTACTTATAAAAGCAGCATAGATGACATCAGCATAACCAACACGTGGCTTTTTAGTATTAGCTATCTTTCATTGATAAATGTTGGCTTTCTTAAGCTGTTAATGCTTTTCAGGAAGTACTCTTTTCTTAAAATAGATTCTCAGTTGACATACAACTCTCATAACTGAATTCTAGGTCCTGGAAGACTATGTTTACCTGTTTACCATCTGTGATTCCTGAGACAATGTTTTTTTTTGTAGCCTAGTGTTTTTGTTCAATTTTCTTATAGGACAGGGACATTCATATAGTGTGTTCTTTCTATACCTGCCCATATCAAAGCTGATATAGACAACAGCTATTGAATACTAGCATAGAAACTCATGCCTCTATAGATTATATCGACTTATATACTTATAGATTCATCTACTTGCTTTAAAAAATAAAGACTTAGGTAACTCAACTTATGTTTAACTTCAGAAGAATTTTAAAACAAATTTTTTAAAACAAAACAAGATCTTTGCTGAAATTTGAATTGCCTGTCATGTTTTCCTAATGTCCAAGAAACCACAGTGGTCATATACTCAGTGACTGTTACATAGCATAGATACTGTTGCCTTCCAACACAATGATATACTCTTTTTATTTCAGTGATATTATAATAAAATATATGGATTATCTATATTTTCCTGGGATATAGGAATATGTGAGAGAAATATTTGACAAATTACATTCTACAAGCAAAACAAAGCATGGTTGCTACTTCTGCCTTCTGCCCCAACTGTAGCAAAAAAAAAAAAAAAAAAAAAAAAAAAGGAAATAATATTGTGTCAGTAATGTGGCCATATTTTCAACTCTATTATTATTTTTCATAATGTTTTTATTGATTATAAGGAAACAAATATTGTATAAGATAATGTTGTTGTCAATAAATAGTTAATATGTGTTTAAATTCCTACAGCATAAGAATATAACGATTAGTGCAAATATTCAAATGGATGAAAATCGTGCTATTTTTAAAGATGGAGTAAATATAGAAACAAGTTTCACTGAGTTACTCTAAAGGGTGATTTTTTTCTATCATGTGGAAGCATTTGCAAAAATGTAGCAGGGTATTAAGTACAGAATTGCAATGAGTTTTGTCCTTTTGCCTTGTTTATATGGAAATTTCTTTATCTTGATATTGCTACTAAAATAGGATATAATTTTGTTTCAAACTTAAGGATAAGTCTGACATATCCTCTGGATAATTTTAATGTTACTTTTCTTAGCATTTTATGAGGAATTGCATCAAATTCCCTGAAGTTGACTTACCAGCGTCACATTGGTTTCAAACTTTTATTTCCTTGTGTTCCATAACTCTTCTCTGACATACTGTGAGCTGATGAGCCACAGATCTTAATGAAGACTGTATATTAGCCTTTCATTTAAACATTTTTGTGGACAAAGTTCACCAAAAGTCATGTTTACTGCTTTGCTGATGGAGACCGGCCATTAAAAATCAAAATATATAGCATACACAAACATGAACATACATGTGTATATATATACATATATACATATATATATATGTATATGTATGTATATGTATATATATATGTATATGTGTGTGTGTCTGTGTGTGTGTGTGTGTGTGTGTGTGTGTGTGTTGTGTTGCTTTGTTTCACAGGTATCCGTGATGTAACTAGACAGTCAGTGTTCACAGCCCTTCTTCCCAAAACAGAAAAGTTATATAATAGCACTTATTCTGAGAAGAAGAAAAACAAAACCTTCAAGTAAACTTATCATGTCTATGGCTCTATGTACTGACATTATATCAAAATATGAATCTTCAGTAAATGAGGTTTCCTTACATTTCCAAACCCAGTAGGATCGCTTGCAAATTTTAAGGGCAAAACACCACATGGTTTTTGCCTCCTGCAGATGATAGAAGTTATGTTCCATCTTCCTAAGTGGGTTGTGCTGTGCATCTCCAGCTCCGGAGTCATTTACGTGTCCACAGTCTCATATGTCATCATCTTCATCAGTTTGCCCACATACACTCAGTGTGTAGTGTAAATGAGCTACTTGACAACCTAATCTCCATCCCCTCTTTTTAATGCCTATGGCAGGACTCCCCAGGGTCAGAATGCTGTATTGAGCTCCAGCTCGCTTCTTACTAATGAGGCAGGACTGCCTTGCAGCCTGAACAGCCATGACTTGTTCCATGCCATGCTTCCGGACGGTCAATTACCATGTTTGACTTAACATTGGTTTCCAGGAAACATGGATGTTGCCAAAACTTTGGAATGTTGAACTGCTGTTTTGATCTTCTTAAAAGTGTTCTATTTATTCAAAAATGATTATTTCAATGTCCTTACCAGGACATCAGAGTGCTCTGGGATATAGGATGCCCTTTAAACTCTTCATGTTATGATTAAAAAATGAGCATTCATTGTGATTCTGGATATATCTTTATTATGAGCCACGCTGATAGATATAATATAATTATTTTGTAAGAAGAACTGAGTTCATTGAAGTTTGACAAACCCTTACTTCTACAATACCCCCCACTGCAGCAGATCCCTAGGTTTATGTAGTCTACCAAACATCTGTCTTTTAATTACTCTATCCATTACCTGTAACCGTTAGATCATAAGTACCACACTTCCAGAAAGCGGTTTACAACTGAAAAAAGGAAATTAGGTCACAAAAGTATAAGCATGTCTTTTGTGTTGCTAAGACCATGTCAGAATGTCATGGTGAAACTTTTCATTATGGTACTATAAATTGCCGATGGCAAGAATGATCATAATATTCATAGAAGTGACCGCGTCTTTAAGGAGGAGGGGTGTGGATATTTTCTTTATCAACCCACAGTATTTACCAGTTATAGCCTCTGAGCCAGAAGTCATACAGAAAGGAGAACAGACAGTCACTCAGTGTGGACAGCAGAGCCCACAATCAAAATGAAGGAGTTACATTGATGGAGAATTGGGGAGACATGACAGGAGTGTGTGGGACTACGGAAAACTGGAAATGTGATCATAGAAATGAATAATGTAATTTACAAATAAAGAAGGCAATGTTATGTAGACAACAACGTTAGTGTAGACCTGATATCTGGGCTACAAACTCCTTGGCTGCCTCTCCACTCCATGGTGATCAAGACGGGAACTTTACAAGCCTACAGCAGCAGAATGGGGTTCCTTTGATAATCTTGTCAGCATCACAGAACTATAGGGAACCTTTGTCACTTTACAACAAAAAGATAACAATTTAAGAGACGTCCATGTAATGCCCTGTTTTTTACCTCTTGT